GTATGCGTGTGTATTTGATAGCAAGCCTAAAGGATAAGCAGGATGCTGCAAATCAGCAGCTAGGCCTGAGAAACACACACACACAGAGACTGAGATAGCAACAGTGAGCACGCGCTACAGTTTGTGAGAGGGAGAGGGAGAAGAAGAGAGCAAGAGAGAGGGCGGAGAGAGCAGTAGAGAGCTTGAGCGAGCGAGAAAGAAAGAGAGCGTGCTCAAGTATAGACAAATGCTGTGCGAAACGTTTTGGCAATTGAAACAAGACACCAAATTTTAAATACAAATATTAAAACCTTAATAAAAAGCTTACAAAAAATGCCAAAAAACACAAAATTCGTAAATAAAATATTTCAAATTAAATCAAAACAATAACGAAAAATGCAGCTAACAACAATTTTGGGCGCGACCACACCCACCAGCAGAGGGCGGAATGGGGTGTTTCAATTGCCAAAATGTTGCCAAGCAAAAATGCCGGGTATGCGATGTGTCCGGCTGCTGGTCCTTGGTCCTGCTGGGCTGCTGCGACTGCAGTCCCCCCCTCCCAAAAAAAAAAAAAACAACAAGAATATGAAATGTAAGAAAAAAGCAACCCCTAAAATCGTGGTATATGCGACGCAGCGCATTAAGGGCGTGAGGGCAAGGCGCATATAGCCAAAAAAAAAGTAGATGTGGAATAAAGGCATATTCCGAGAGCACAAAATGACAAAGAGATTTTTTTGGCAACAACAAAGATGAACTGAGATCTGCCACAGAGCCAGCTGAAACTGAGTTTTAATGCAGAGGCTGCAGCATCAGCTTAAGGGTTGCTTCCCCCATACAATCTGCCAAACGCTCTACATGCAAGTCGCAACGAGCTGATGATGATGAAGTTGATATTTTGTGTGTGTGTGTGTGTGTGTGTGTGTGGGGGGGGGGGGTATATAGAGCGGCGAATCAGTCGAGGCTTCAGTTTTTTGGTAATGCAAAAGGATGTGTTGTGCGTGGGTGTGTGTGTGTGCCTTTTCTAAATACCTTGAAATTGGTTAAGCGTTTGTTGTGCTTATCAAATTGACGACGCTTAACTGTGCTTCAGGTAGCCTAATTGCTTCAACAAGCCACCCACCGGGTCGTGTGTGCGTGTGTGTGGTGTGCAGCATTTGCATGTCGCATTTGAATTGGCTGTTTGAGCTAGTTGGAGTTAAGTTGCAGTGGTCCAATTGCAATTTAATATGCATTACGACAAAGTGGTTTTTATTATATGTGGCTTTTGTGGGCTTTATATAGCAAGATAAGCGCTAGCCGCAAAAGTTAAATATGAAACTAATCAGAAATTGCTATTTGATATGTGCACTAGGCCAGCCAAATGCAGAAAAGAATTCTGTACAATCAGTTCTAAACATATTTATATGAATCCAAATAAATATACATAAAATAATCCATCCTTAAACTGAAAGCCAACCAAAGGCTTTTCATAAGCTTCAATTGAAATGAGAAAGTGTTTGGCATGTTATTAGGCTATGAAAGTGTCTATGTCTTATATCAGAATATATATAATTCAAGATATGTAATGTGTGCAATAAAATGTATATAGCGACATTCAACTCTACATTTTTTCTGGTTCCAAAACAGTACTATCAAATATTTAAACAGATACATCAACCTGTAAATAAATTTGATTTCTCGTTTCTAAAAATTGCAGTTAATAATGATTCTGGCTGTGAACATATCTTTTAAGGCCTCGAATGTATTTAAGCTTTTAGGCTTAATGATAATTGACATATCTAGTCTTAAGAGCTCGATAATATATTCTTTTTATAGCTTTCATATTTGAAGCTTTGGGGCTTTGAAAAATGCCTTTTACGAACTCTGGCCTTAAATTCGTAAAAAAGTTGATCATTTCTATTAATGTAATATATATATATATATTTACTTTTTCATGAATGGTATGAAAAAAATTATGTAAAGTATAAACGAAAATTGTATTCTTTATCTGCAGCTCAATTAAATTGCATTTACATATTGCCTGTTTACACATTTTTTATGACTATAAACTATATAAACTAAGTTCATATAAAATTGAACACGCATATATATATAATATGAATAAACTTTTGCATATCAAATTAAACTTCCAATTGACCTTTTTTTTGCGGCTTCCCTTAAACAGTTTCTGATTAATTGCAATGACAACACTTAACGGGCTTGGGATCGAAGACGTTGATAAAAAAAAGTAAACGCATGAAAACGTGAGGAAATAAAGTTGACCTAAAAAAGACGCAACATTGTAGCCGGCGTCTGCGTGCGCACACACAAAGTGACACACACACACACGCACACACACACATGGTAATGCGAATGCTAATGCACATATGACACAGATGATGGAATAGAATGGCAAAATGGCAGACATGACGTAAACGCTGCTGGGAGTGTGTGTGTGTGCCTGAGTGCTGCGCGTTTAAAAATATGGAAACATCAAGTGCAGGCAAGCCTGTGCTCTTATGCAAATCGTCAGTGGTTTTGCCAGGTTATTAGGTGCTTGACAGAGCATAAAAAAGGACAACGGCGGTTGGCAGGGGTCAAGGGTCAGGGTGCTTAAGTGTTGGATAAAGACTGCAACCGCTCGCAACTGAGAGTTTCGAGTCCAAAATGAAACCATTCAAAATGAAACAAATGACAGCTACTTGCCACAGAGGAGACACTTATCCAACATATATGGCTGAGTAAGCATCAGGCAGGATTCTCTCCAGCTGCAAGTAATTTCCTTAATTAAAAGGTGTGACAAAAGCCGTGTGTGTGTGTGTGTGTGTGTGCGGGTGACGTGGGCGTGGCACCCAAGTGGCTCAAATTACAAAAGTAAATAAGCTGTGCGTGTGTGTGTGCGAATGTGTTTACCGCAGCAAGGACATTTAGCCAGCGGAAGCGCAGCAGCAGCTCATTGACATGCAAAACAGCAGCAGGATGTGATATGCGCTAAGCCTGTGGAGGCTAAGCAGACAGGAAGAAATACACACAGATTCACATAAACAGGCACACACACATAATAGCATAAGCTAAGGATGTACTAGTTAACTAAACCTTGAATCCTGGCACTTAGCTTAATCATTATTCATTTGTATGTAGTTGGCTGGTTGACATCGTTAGCGGCCGTTTGCCAAAAAACTCATAACAAACTTTTACTCCTTTGAGTGGATTTTGCTGCCACGAGTCAAATCCTGACGACATGTAATTGAATTTAATACGGCCCGAGGCAGCAACTAACGAGCCACAGTTATTCAAAAGGGTTGTTTTGTGCAAACGAAAAGTTTTTGTGTGCCTGTCCAAAGCTGTCAAAAATATAATTTGGCCACTTTGGCGAATTTGAAGTGGGTCAGTCGAGCGACGCAAATGCAAAAGCTTCGAAAAATGTGACAAATGACAAATGGCCACAGCAAAATAAAAAAGCTCGCACTCTTGGTGGAGCTTTAAGCTCTTTTTAAAAATTATTTTAGCTATAAAGCTTTCGGCAAAGCTTGCAGCAACTGCTTGACGTGTTGTGTCCTGCCTGTAAGCGGATCTGGTTTCTATAAATGGAGTTGAGCTTGGCTAAATTACAGTTGTCAAGCAGTTTAAATGCTATAAAGCAGTGCAAGAGGTTTACAGTCATATACAAATTACTAGCGAATCTAAAATTAGAAATGAGTTCTCAAACATACATGCAAATATAATTTAAGGTCCGCTTAGTACCATTTTAAAACCAAGTAAAGTTGATTGTTATTGTATTTGAAAAATAAAACACATTTTATGTGTTGTACGCAAACATTAGACTTCCAGAAATTATATTTTTTCCCAAGTTGAAGCACCTTTGGAAATGTGATCATTTGCATCTTGTAGATCTGAACTAAAAAGTCATGCAAATATACATATATACAATTCGGTAGACTATTCAATTTTTAATTTGAAATATGACATGTAGGATGTGATACCATCTCGGACTTGGTTAGCGAACACAAAGTATTGATAGTTTTGTATGCCTAAAAAACAAATGCTTTCATAAGATGTTATCATATCAAATTCTTTGAAAAACAGAATTTTTGAAAAATGTTAATAACATGTGTGTAAGAAAATTCTGTCACAGTTTGGCCCACATGATGCTTCCCAAATTTTGCATGGAGCTTATTGTTTACATATTTTCCACTAGGCACAACAAATAGCAGGCAATAGCTGACTCAGCTAAGCGCCAAGGCAAGTTGACGCAGTGCGAGCATAAACGCATCCTGCTCAAAGTCGCAGGATGCAAAAGTGAAGTGGTGCTTGAGAAATGCTTCAGTCGCATAGTGGAAGACCCGAAACCCAGCCGCGCCTCCTGCTCTCGTAGTGCTATACGGAGGCACTTGTCTGGTAAATGCTGACACCAAGCTTCGGCTCAAGTATTTTGCGGGCAAATAGTCCAGCAGTGTATGAGGTTAGGCCCGAGCATACTCATAAACTTGGTGGGGTGTGTGTCTGTGTGTGTGAGGGGAGTGGGACATGAGGCGCAATGTAATAAAAGTCACTCGAGTGACATTTTTGAGCTTGCAGCCATACAAAGCATAAGCAAAAAGCAAACAAAGCGAGCGCTAAGCCCCAGCTCCCAGTTTCAGCTAGAATTCTGAGCCCTCCGGCACTCAGTCTCTTGTTGCCGTTGCCGTTGCCTGTTGTTGTTCCTTTTCAGCCGCTTTTTAATCGATTATGGCGAACGTGTATTGTTTGCCGCAAATCCTGTCTGAGTGTTGCATTACAACAACAATTTCTGCTGGCAACAGTGCATGCTGCAACAGCAACAGATGCACCAGCAATCGTATTGGGGCTAACCGCGTGACACGACTAAGTACCATACGCGTGTGCTTCTTATCTTCATATCTTAGCACGAGTTATTGAACACAATATCCCCAAATAACTTCGATGTTCAGTTGTACTTTAAAGATGGCCTTTTCACATATACCAAATATTAAGATCAATACTTTATAAATCTTTGAGAAACGAAATGTAACATTAACATTAACTTGAAATTGTGAATTTTGTCATTGGCATGTATTCTTGGAACTATACTGAAGATTCGTTAAAAGCCCTTATAAGTGTATCTTATCTTGCCTTAAATGATATGTTAAATGATATTATATATCATATATAATAAGTCCTATAAAATAAAAATAGTCTGTGGTATAAAAACATTTTATTGGAACAAAAAAAAAAAATAAACAACACGCGCTCATCCCTAACTCGAATACCTCAAAAAACATTGTACATTGAACTTGCAGCCTATCTCATTGTGCTGAGCCATCAGCAATCAACTCTTATACATAAAGGAGTGGGTCTTGGTGGTGGTTGGGAGAATGCGCTCTTCAAAAATTAAAATGTTGCCCTTGTTAAAAGAATATTCCGCAACATATTCAATAAATTTTGTTATCTATGCAGCAAAATTGTCAAGTGTGCACTTGAGAAAACTCATCGTTCCTTACACAGAAGAATAAAGAAGAAGAAAATGGGTAGCTGCAAGGAATACCGTAGGGTGTTTTCACGCGATTTTCGGTTATTTCATACGCTTTGTTACCTTTCAAGGAGTGTGGTGGGTGGTGGTGCGCGCACATTTGCTTTTACACGTTTTCTTTTTGTTTTTGTCACGTTTTTTACTTTTTTTGTTGTTATGCGATCAGCGATTGTAAAAATGCACATTGTTTTCGTTCGTTTCCTTCGTTGGCATCGCGTTTAAGCTGCTTTTCCACCCTTCACAATTCAGCCACAGGAAATGCACGTCGTTAAAATGGCGACCGGTTCAGCTTTTAATATTGTTTTGTTCTTTTACTTGTCCTTTTCTTTTTTGCCATCGCATGCCGACATGTTGTGAACTTACCTGTAACATAATCAAAGAATATATTAAGATTGATAAAAATATATTTTATACGCATATGAGGCATAAAGTTCAAAATGGTTTGTTAAACAAGTATATGGCTAAATGACAAGCGTATGCTGCATGAGGCTTTGATATTTTTTATGACAGCTTCGTGTTTTTACATGTAATATTAAAAATATATATATTTTTTTTTTACGTACATAAAAACATATACACCATACAATGTGCGACATGTACAAACAGGAAAAATAATTAAACATAAATCAAAAATGTAGTTTTCATTTTTATATATTTGTTGATGTCATTTTTCCTTAAATTGTAATTATTCGTTTGTCTGTTTGTCAATTGTTTTATTTTCGTGCAGCAATATTAATTTACCGGGTTCTAAAATTGATAGATTAAACTCTCAGCTCATAAGTGAGGCTAATTTAAATATACGTTCTTTATGCTTATTTAAATTAATGTTTTATTTGGCTAAAAATAAGTTAAACAAGTATTATTGGTTTTCAACGCATGTACATTACTTCCAATGAAAACCAAAAACACCCACAACCAGCTAGAAAGCTTGGACAGCTACTTAGCAGACAGTTCGTACATTGACCTATCCCAAAAATATATCTCCAAAATGTGCTAAGTACTGGAGGCCAAAAACCAAACTTGGTCAGTGGCACATTGCATGTGGAGACTGAACTTTTGTTGATTCAACAGATTAACAGCTAATGAGGCGGGTGAGAGTGAACGGTATTTCGTTTTACTTATTTATTTCTTTTTTCGGGAGAAGTCATCAATAATAAGCACTTGTTGGGCGTAACAAGAGAGTACATTTGACTTTTTTAAAGCCGACTTTCGAATACTGTAGCAGACATATTGTAGATGTAGTTAATTTATGGACCTTGTTGCTATGAAGCTAATAATTGCTATAAGTGGTCAAGATATCTTAAGAAGAGAATTTATTTATCATAAATTAACAATGTTGCCCAAATGTGAAGATTTTGAACTAACTTCATATTTTAACAAATAAAATAATTCTTGACGGATCTCTGCCTATAGAGCATAAACACAAATATATATTAAAAAGTTTCATCAAGAATATGTAAACATTATTTATGAGACCGAAGCCATGTGATCTTCGTTCATAAAATGAAATAACCCTGTTAGGGTATAAAAACGAATGAAAAATTAATCTGCAACTAAAGTAAAAAGTGTGAAATGCTGCATATTAATAATGTTTTATTTTTTTGTTTGGCAAAGAGCCCAAATAAAACTTCGTACAGTAAATTATGACTGAGAGCTCAGAAATAAATGTTGCCAGTCAGTTGTACATGCGAGCTCGGCCGTGCAGTTAGCTGGTTTTAAAGTGCTTAAGTGATAAAAAAAGTGACTAAAATAATGAGTATGTGAAGTACGCACAAGGTATTTCAACAAGTACGCAAAAAATACTCAAAATGCAGCTGCTTGGATTGTTGTTTATTTGTCAGTCAGGTGATTATCTTGGACCAGGAGATGCAGATGTAGTTTGTGCGTCTACGAAAATTGCTCCAGTTTGGTCTAATGAACTTTCATTTTGCCAGTTTGTTTGTGGTACACTGCAGCTAAGCTGCATGAGGCAAAATCTATGGGCAGAATTAGGAATGTATACGATAGGAGGATTGAGGATTTCAACTACTCGAATGCTGATTACAGTGCACAGCAGGTCGATGCAGACAACAATCAATTGCTGGTGTTGGGGGAGGATGAGGTCGAGCTGCACGAGCAGGTGCGGCAAATACCCGCAGTGCAAGTAAAAGTGACAAATGAAGTGGAAAGTGCTATGATGAGGGCAACAACAGCAGAAGAAGATGAGGAGGTAAAAGCAGTATGGAAGGCGAAACGACTGCAGTCCAATGGAAATGACCAGAACAAGGACAGGCCTGAAATACAAATTGAAAGGACATCAAATCAGGACATCAGCAGCGGTAGCGGGGGCCTAATGAGCCCCGACGAGCTGCCAATATCGGAAAGGCATAATTCTGGCAACAACAGCAACAATGCGGGCAACATGGGCCAAACGGCTGATGAGCAACTATTGCGATTACAGGACTACAATTTACTGTACAATGCCGAGCGGCAGACATACTTTCAGCTGCACTCGAGCAATTGGCGTGGCACAAATAGACCGCCGCCATCGGGTGGCAATCGACTGTTGCAGCAGGTTGTTGGCAACACGCTGAGCGCCGCCTTTGGCCTGAATGCGAATGACGATAATGTTAAGAATACTTCCATGGAGATGACCACCACGCAAACGGTGCGGCTCTATGATGCCGCCTCCTTGCGACAATCGCGCTTCAACCCATTCCAACCGACGCGGTAAGTTATGAATGATTCAGTAGGAAATGTTTGTTGCACAATTTGTGCCTTGCGGTGGTCACGTACCACCTTTTTCTCTGCACTACACGTGCTTCATAGACTCAGCCATATATTAAAATGTTCATACAAAAAATAGGTGTTCCTTAAAAACTGATACACCTTTTTAGCACCCATAAAGTTTATCAGACGTTTCTTTTGATATATAATATGATGTTTACTTCGATATTTTTATTTATGGCTAACAATCAGCAAACACTTTTCTCTAATTGCAAAATATATATCAGATATATCATATTCAACCCGTTATAACCAAAAACTGTTGCTTTCTAGTTAATAATTACAAAGTTCACGAAATATATACAACAATTATTAACCATAATTAATTCCGTTCTTAATTAGAATATTGATTTCTTTCATGAATTTCATTATTTAGATTCGGTTTCTTATAGTACACAATTCTCCGATTAAATGCAAAACAAATATAAATCATCTATTTCAACTTCGCTCTGCTCCCTCTCTCTTTCCACTCACAACATCAAAATACACGGCTGGCTACTTGTTATAACAAAAAGCTAGTAGTTTCTAGTTAATAATTACAAAGTATACGAAATGTATACAACAATTATTAACCATAATTAATTCTAGCATGAATTTCATTATTTAGATTCGTTTTCTTAAAGCACAAAATTCTCCAATTGAATGCAATATTAATATGAATCATCTATACAAAACTTCTCTTTTATCCTTCTCTGCACCCACTTACAGCATCATAATACACGGCTGGCTGGGCAATGCACATGCCAATGTCTACAGCTATTTGGTCCCCGCCTACATGACCCTCGGCGACGGCAACTACAATATTTTCACCGTGGACTGGGGCCGTGGCGCCATTGCCGACTATATAACGGCCAGCTATAGGGTGAAGCCTGTGGGTCAGGTGCTGGCCAAGTTTCTGGACTTTCTGCACGAGGAGGCTGGCATGCGGTTTGAGGATCTGCAGCTGATTGGCTTCAGCATGGGCGCCCATGTAGCTGGCCTGGCCTCAAAACATTTGCAAACGGGCCGCGTGCGTGTGATACGCGCCTTGGATCCAGCTTTGCCGTTTTTTCGCTATGCCCAGGAGAAGGAGCGACTGAGTCGCAGCGATGCGGACTATGTGGAGGTATTGCACACGAGCGTGGGAAGCTATGGATTTGATCGCCCACTGGGCCACGTGGACTTCTATGCCAATTGGGGCAGCCAGCAGCCGGGCTGCTTTTGGCACGAGTGCAGCCATTGGCGTGCCTTTGCCCTCTTCAAGGAGAGCCTGGAGAAGATGGCCTTCGAGGCCAAGGGTTGTGAGACCAGTGAATGGCAGCAGTTGACGCGCTACAAGCGCTGTCCACAACCCACGGGCCAACGGCTGCACATGGGCGGCGATTTGGGCGAGTTATCAATGGAGCAGCTGGCGCAGCGTATGGGAGTTTATTATTTTGAGACCCAGGCGAAGGCACCGTACGATATGGGCGCAGCATTATAGTGGAGCAACATTCAGTGTGGAAAATGGCATGAAAAATGAAAATAAAAAATCCAAAATATAAAGAAAGCAAAGCAACCAGCACAACAACAACAACAACAACTACTACTACAACTACAACAACACAAACAGCGTAATGAGCAAATGTGTAGCGCGCATTTTTATTTCTAATTAGTAAGTGCATTTGTGTGTGCGAGTGCATGTATACTCATACATGTGTGAAAGTGTGTGTGTGTGTGCATACGTGTGTATTTCTAAAAGCTGCGCTGCAAAATTAAAAAATGCTGCCATGTGTAAAATGCTTTTCATGCCAGTCACAGTCAGGGAAAATAAAAAAAAAAACGTACACACACAACTTGCAACGAGCATGTGAAATTGTGAAAACCCAAAATGCCAGGCAAAGTAGTTTTCGCCGCCATTTTGCCTGAATATAAAAAAATATTACCAAACATCCGATAAACCCTTAAAGCATGCGACAGTTAATTAAGTAATTGCACAGATTTCCATGTTTTAAAATGTTAAATATTCATTTTAAATCAATTTTACATAGCTCTACAAGAATATGATTCCAATTTCCGTGAAGCATAGCCTGAACCATTGTTAAATTTGACCTACTTTGATTTACCTTTATATCGTATCATTTCTTTTAACTTCAATATAAAACATCATCTCAAAACGAAAGTCGACTTCATTTATCAACTAGTTTTCCTTTTGTTATAAATTTTCTTTTCTTTTTTGTTTTGTTTTCTCAATTTTTAATGTTGTTATCAAATTTAATTTTGTTTAGTTTTTTTTCCGTTGTCAACAAATTGGCAGAATTTCGAATACAGAAATAAGAAAGCTTAGTTGTTTTAATAATAGAAATTCGATAACAAGCTGGCTGCTTTCAGAAGATTGAAATTTTTAAAATGAAACTAAGCTTATAGAAAACAAAAAAAAAAAACAATATTAAACCGCAAGTTTAATAATATTTATAAACTGTAATCGTTCGATCTAGTACTTGCAAACTTCATGGTATATTTGAACTGCTTTCTTAGTATTCCACTGCTTGTTGCATTTCAAAAAGAGTTTGTTAACAAAAGACGCAAATTAATTGGACTTGCCAACTATCCAGTAACAAAACGAAGTGTGATCAAAAGTGTTTAAGTACAACTTTTGCATCTGAGTTAAGTTTAAAGGTCGATTGTCAAAAATTTGCTGCCAGAAACTGAAGCACAAAAAAGACACAGACCCACACATACCTACACTGAGGCAGAGCGCAACGGACGACTGGCGTAGCCGTCAGCGTCAGCCAGCCGCAAATTATGAGATTCTGTGTAATTTGTAGCCTGCTTTTTGGCGCGAGACCTACATAAATTACACACAAATATACATATACTGTTGCATATTTGATAGAAAACAAAAGAGTGCAATGTGTGCAAGCGGTTAGGATGCTTACATGCTAACAAGTTGACTTTAAAAGACCGAGAACGACTAAAATGTACCCTGTTAAATGCATACATCATATATTTATTGACCCTTAAACTTGTGGAAAAAGTTTCTTTTAATAATTGAAAATCTGAAGTGAATTTAATCGATGTAAAATACCAAACTACCTCTTAAAGATTTTGATATACTATATTTTTTTGCTTTCTTCTAATATTTTTAGGGTATTACAAGAAGACATACGTAACAAGCCGCCTGTTTAGTTTACTGACACTTTGCTGCATGCATTTTGCATGCTGCATACTTATAGCCGCATGACACATAAATTAAAGATGGCGTCGTTGCACGTTGGCCAAGTTAACGACTTGGCACTGCTACGCATTACGCTTTAATTGGCCCCGTCTGTCCGTGTGTGTGTGTCCTCATCTCAACGGCCAAAATGTTGTAAATACTATACGGGGACTCAAAAAAAAAAAAAAAAAAAAATTGCGCACGGCTGCCATTAATGTGATTTCCTTCCAAGCCATTTGATTGGCAATTGGAGAGCAAACCCAATAGGAACGTGGGCAATGAGAAATGACGTGCACAAATGTTTGCCAAGGCGAAAGGACGAAAAAAATCGGCTGCTGTACGTTTTTTTAAGCCCCGACATGTAGGCAACACATTAATGCGGCTTTAGCAGAAGAACTCTGCTTTCTTCTAATTTCTCCCCTGAGCAAAGTAAAATATTTGTTAAAAATATTTTGTGTATATAAAAAAATATCCAAAAAATAGCTGTCGTCTGCTTTTAGATTAAAATGTTGCATAGTTTTTGAGGTCAGCGCCAGTGAGAGTAACGTGCAACAAATTGCATATAAATTATATTTCATAAAGTCGCAAAAGTTTTGTTTTATTTTATAACCAGGCGCTTGAGGCGCAGGCGCCTCCATTCCCAAGCCTCAAGCCCCAAGCTAAGTTAGGTACTTGAAAATTGTCATAATGGAGTTTCTCTAAGTCCGCAGTTGGACAGTTACAGGGAGAGGCAGGGGAGCAAGGCCTGGCTGCCTTTGGGCTATATTTATGGGATAAGTTTTGTGCGAATTCCAGAATTCAGTGCTCAGATAAAGTTTTGTAACTTAGGCATTTTTTTAAACTAATTTAAAATGCGTATATTTTTGCTATGATTAAATAAATAATTAATTAATTAATTAAATTAACCTAAATAAACGGTGTCAAATTGCTTTATGCCAACTTTGTAGAAAGCTTTTTCAAAGGCAATTTCTATAAATGCCTAGTTTTTGTTAGTTATGGTTAATTTATGGCTAATAAATTATTCAGAAAAAAAATAGAACTCGGTAAACTGGCGACGGCAATAGTACACAGCTAGGTTTCGTAATTGGATTTAGTTGTTAGCTGCTAGCCATGAATAAAAGAAGAGTTTTATTATTAAATTTGCTTACCACAGCATGGATTCTAAGTAGTTCATGTTTTGTCAGCTGTTTGCTATTGTCACGATAAGTCAAGGCGTCTTTTGACACTGGCACACACACACACACGCGTGCACACTCGTGCACACCCACAAAGTTAGTTGTGAAAGAAACTCAATTTGCGTGTGTAAGTTTTGGCAAGAAAATTTTCACTTTGGCAAGACATAAATTGCAGTCTGCATTGTTGTAGATGTTGCAAGTGGCAAGTGGCAAGAACAAAATTGTGGCAGCCCGCGGAAAAACCCGTCACTGTTGCCGGTTGTACGCCGCAAACCAAACTGAATGTGCTGCCAGATAACAACAACAAAAAATGCATGCGCTAATTTGTTGGCCAAGATGTTGAGGGCCAAAGGGTTGGTTTGGCCCAGGCTGAAAAAAGACACAGTCCTCAGTCGGAAGCCCTTCAAGTGTGCTACACCCCCGCCCCCCGCCCCACGACCCACCCGTTCCGCCATGTCCCGCACCCTGCACTCTACTCGCGCTCGAGCCAAAGAGTGGATTTAGGTACTTGGAATTGTAGAGAACTGTGCACTGAGCAGACTGAGAAATGAACTACAAAACTGCGCTGAGCTGTGCTCAGACAATACATTCCTAATTCCCGACAGGCTAAAACCAACCCTACTACCTCCCTTTGCCATGCCCATTTACCACACAAGTAGTTGGTATCTTCTTCGGACTTTTTTTTTTTTTGGTTTGCCAGCGCAGTCACAACCTGTCATAAAGTGTCGCGTCGCGCGTTTCTTTGCTAGCCCCGCTCCTTCCTCTGAATTCCTTCCTTGACTGTCAGTGGTGCTTCCTGCTGGTGGTGCGTGTTTAACCCGCAATGGCTTCCGGCGCACGCACTGTGCTGCCACATTTCAGTTTGTTGCATGCAACTTACGGGCGCTTTGTCGGCTTTGGATGCACTTACGCAAGTTTTCCCTACCTCTAGCTCTTTGTGCACATATCAACCTCTGTCTTGGTGTGTAATAAAAATAAGGATTACATTTCTCAATAGCCTTTGAGTGCTACCATAAGCCTAGCAGCAAGAAGCTCAAAGAGCACAACTGTCAATGCCATCGACAGAAAGATAGCGATATAGCCAGCCGAGAGGAGAAACGAAGTAAATGCTGCTGCTTGTTTGTTGACATGCAGCAAACACAAAAAAAAAATAGGGTTAAGAATGCTCGACTCGAAAATACCCTGTTATCAGTTTGAGGGCAAACGTATACTCATAAAAATTGTTGAAATTCAGCTTGAGCCCGAACCTTTATTCGCTTTGTGTCGCCCATACCTACAGAAGAGTCGTGGTTTGTGCAAAAGTGTTGCAAAGTGTGAAACACCTTTCGAATTAACTTGAACAAAATTGTATAAAGAAACGCCGTTTTCCATTATTTTGCCACAAAAGCAAGTGAGAGCCCGTTTCAGCGTGCATTACCTAAGGTAATTACAAATAAAACTTCAACTTCCTTTAGTCATTAGGGACAAAGTATTTTCTACTTAGAGATAATTATATACATTTACCCACTTTCGAAAAGTAAAGGGCATCAAAACCAATGAAACACATTGCAGCACATGTTACACAAAATGTTGGCAAAGGTGTGTGTATGAGCTCGATGTGTTTGTGTGCCTGTTTGGGTGTGTGTGGCACGTATCATGTGTGAACGCTTGGCAAACAGGCAAAAACTAACAGCAAAATGTGGACAACTGTTGGCCAATGCAACAGCAGGATGTCCATTGAAGCGGTTGAAAGGTGGCGCTGCAAGTAGAGTGGTATAGCTCGAACGGACGGTTTGTTAATTATAAGGCCGAACGGTGTGTAGAAAATGCAAGACTTAAAGAGTTTAGTCAGGAATTTACAGGATACTTTAACTGATAAACGAAACAAAAGTAAGCAATTACATCATTTGACCGAAAATTCAAATTCAATAAAATAGTCAATTGTTTGTGCCCAATATCAAATGCAAAGCTCGGCATGGTTCACGCAAATACTTAAATAATTGCTTGGCAAAGGTTAGGGTAGGTTTGTCAACGAGGAGGTCTAGGGAGGAGAACTAGCTGAAGCTACGACGTCAATTGAAGCCCTACGACGAAAAAGTTTCAGTTTTTGCGCAAACAAATTGGATTATTCGATTACGTGTTTGTGCCAGAGCAAGCGCAGGTATAGAGTGACAAGTAGCGGACAAGAGAGGCAGGAAGGGAGGGGAAGAGAGAGAGAGAGAACAAGTAAGAGGGAGGGAGGGAGAGAGGGAATAGAATCAAACGTTGACGATGGCAATTTTGTAAAGCGGCCAAGGGAACAAGTTTTAAGAGCACCAAGGGATTGCAGGGCTTGCAGGTTCGATTTCCAAATTAAAAAAAAATAAAAAAACAGTTTTCTTTGGCTTTGAATTTGATTTATGTGGATTTTGTTTGCCAGTTGGCAAATGTTTGAAGCAGAGAATGACTTGTAAAAACTATAATGCCGATTTGATATAGTACGTTTGACAAAGGCTTCTCACAAACCTGCAAATTATTGAACTTTTTTCTTTTTTCGTGGCAGAAGCAACGAAGAATACTCGCTCAATACAATTGAGGTAAATGAAAAATTCAAAGCGAAATACGTTCCGTGGGAAATACGAAGGTCGATTCACCAGAAGATGGGAAGCGTGCTAATTTGCAGGAAATTAAGGAAATAACAAGAAATTGAGGTGCGAATTGGATTGGATCTTTCCCAGAAACATGAATACAAAATTGAAGGGTCTTTTCCTAGAAATATTCCGTTCACTAGACATAATCGAAGTGACAGAATAAATAAGTCTGTTGGTCCTTATAAATTCGAGGAAAGCAGTTTCCGATAATATTGAATATTATCGACATATGTACATAGTTTACGGATGGGGAA